GGTTGCTCTACTGGTTTTGCAACTTCTTGATTTCGTGCAAACCATTTGATGGCAAACTAATGAATCTTTTCTCTCTGCCAAGTGAGTCACATGGCACTCATTATGGGAAAATAGTGTGGGAAAATAAATGATAGAATAGAAGATGTTATTGCTCACTGGATAAATCATAGTTTTACAAGATGAGACGCCTTAAAATTCAGCAGATCAGTGGAGCTGGGGAAGAGGCTTGATTTTGGTATGATGAAGTGTTCTTGTGTGTGTTATAGAGCCGTACTCGCCTCGATCGGCACAGGCTCATCTGGCACGTGTGCAGGACATGCTGAAAGCTGTCAGGCCCCAAGACGCCCTGATGGAGGGCCGATCTCCCGCTGTATTGAACACACTCACCCAAACGTCAGGTAAGAAATACACTCTAGTACATTTACGTTACTGTTGAGTTCTGTTGATATAATTATGTTGATCATTATATCAACTTAATATTGTGTGTAACTCAAATTTCTACATTATTATTATTATTTAATTTTTATTGTAGTAACTTAATGAACTTGAAACCTGACCAGTGGATTTCTAGTTCCCAGCATGCTTTGCATAGGAATAATATATATATTTATATATTATTTATTTATTTATATACTTTTTTATTTTTAATATTTTCAGTTTTCATTTTTATTTTAGTTTAAGTTTTAATAATCATATTGTGACTTGCTTTTGTCATTTGTCATATTTCTATTTAACTTTTAATTTTAGTACTAAACTGATTTAATTTAGTAGCCAATGCAACATTTCTATTTAAGGTTTTTAAATTTTAGTTTTTCGTCTATTATTTTATTTTATTTCTAATTTAACTCTATTTCAATTACAGAAAAAAATGAGTAGTTTTACTCTGTTAACAGTAAAAACACTGATCCCATATCTTGATAACTTAATTTTTTTATATTTTCAGTTTTCTTTGTAATTTTAGTTTGTTTTAATAACTTTGTGCTTTTGTCATCTGTCATATTTCTATTTAACTTTAATGTAAGCGTTGGTTTTTAGTAATTTTAGTACTTTAAGTTTTGTCACTTAGCCAAGGCAACATTTCTAATTTTCATTTAGGGTTTTTAAGTTTTTCATCTAATATTTGTATTTTATTTCAGCTTTATTTAAATTACTGAAAAATATTTTTAATAGTTTTAGTTAACAGTAACATCACTGTTCCAGTATCTTGATAACTTTCTGTCTTTGTGCACAAATGTTATCATAAAATACATAAAAGTGATTTTACTCAGTATTGCCTCTAAATAATTAAAAAAGCAATAATAATTTTTTAAGCCCATGGCAATGAGACTCTCTGATTGTGTGTTTTATGTGTGTACTAGAAGCCCCTCCCACTCTGCACTCATCAAAAAACAAACGAGCCAATAGTAAGACAGAGCAGTCAGGTGAAGCCCCGCCCCCTCCTGCCTGCATTCTGCCGGGAGCTTCTGAAATTCCTCCTTTGACGACTCTGCTGCCCACCAACACACACAGTGAAGTATGTCAAATATACACAAATAAACCTTCAGGCATTTGCCTTTGTTTTTCACTCTCAACCGGCTTCTCTTATAGGCTCCCAGTTTCCTGCTGGACCTGTCACTCAGCTGTTGGAACCCTCCCCCTGGTTTCCGGAAGCTGCAAGGTGACTTCATGTACATCAGTGTCCACACTCTGGAGGGCAAGCATTGTGACATCACTTCCTGCCCACGTGGATTTTACGTGAACAGGTAAGACTCTCTGTATCGCTAAATTCAGAACAACTTACTCCCATACTATTGCTATTTCTGCCTTTTCCAGTGTGACAAATGAACTGAAAATAGTTTTGAATATCTGTTTCTTGACTCACTATTTAAATGCACTATCAAAACTTACAATGTACACAAAACTGGAATAAAAAAGCAAAATAACCATTAATTTTCAAGATGAATTAAGGTCAAGTGACAAAAATGTAGCTTACTACTGTCTAAAATGTTGATCATTGCATTTTGCATACAGTTTCATATACTATTTCTTAAATATAGTAGACATTACACAATATATACTAGATTTTGCATAAAGAAAATTAAGTCTAATTTAAACACACACACACACACACATATATATATATATGATGTAAATGATGTATTTCATTTGTGGTGATTAATTTTAAAAATATATTTAAATATATTTCAAATACAATTGTATTGCAGTATGTTTTTTTACTTTGTTGCATTTAAATTTTTGTTAATGTACTGTATTGCAGTTAAGAGAATGAAAAAAGGAAATAAAAAAGGAAAACATCTGGATACATTACAGTAATGATAATTTTTGGTTGCATATTATTTGTACAAAATAATATTATTCTTATTTTTTTCTTTTCATTTTACTTCACATATTGGGTTGTTTTCATGAGATTCACCCAATAATGTAATTTTTGGAGTAACAGACTGTTTGTGGCATATTAGATTCACAGAATGATAGAGATTTTTTCAAAAACCAAGCTGTATTTTTGTGTTTCAGGTCGACCCTCGAAGTGTTTGACCCTCGTCCTGCTCAATCGACTCCAGTGTGCCACTGTCTGACCGACCTGCTGTCCCACATCAGCCCACAGTTCAAACACAACCTGAGCACACTGCGGCACAGGTGACCCTCACACACACACACACACACACACACACACTCACTCTCATCTCTCTCAGTATAGTTCATTGAGCGTCTCTGTCCATTCAGGCCGTCTCTGCCGGCTGAGGAGACGCTGTCCACTCCGTACCGCACAGTCAGCTGGCTGGGCATCTCCTCACTTCACTCGCACAAACCCAGCTTCAGCGGCCGGCTGGGTCTGGACCAGGACCTCAGTGCGCAGGTACACACCTGTCCCGCACTCACCTGTTTCAGTGCTCAAACACAATGATCTTTATTGACATGACTGTGTGACATATATAATTGCAATGAAGCATATAAATGCATCAATATCAGCAGTAAAAAAAAAACAACTGTAGTAATGAAAATAAACTAAAATAAAATGTTGACTATTTAATATTAATTTAATGTAAATATTAATAAAAAAAATCAATCAATATTAATATATATATATATATATATATATATTTATTATCAATATCAATGTTACTATTTAAAGAAATAAATTAAATTAAATAATTAAGTAAATTATATTAACATCAACAATTTTACTGTATTACAGTTATGAAAATCACTATTAAGAAAAAAAACTTAAAAGTAAAACCTATGAATGCATTACTGTAATGAGAATTTTTGTGGGAAAATGTGCATAATGTCACAATGCAAAGAAAACAAATCCTAAGGTTTCAGAAGGAGTGAAGTATTGGATTGTTTTCATGAGATTCACTCATTTAATTAATGAAAATAATATAATATAAAATTAAATAAATGTAAAAAAGCTAATATTACTTAATATTAAATATTTTAATTTTAATATTTACAAAAATAAAATAAGCAAGTAAAGTTATATTAACATCAGCAAGATATTTGATATGCTTATAATCACATAATATGAAATGCAACAATTTCTAATTGTTCTATTTTGGATAGAGACGCATTTGTTAAGGGTAAAAGGGTTTTCCCCAAAAAAATTTCTCTTTTGTCTTGGTATTTGTCACCGTGAAGGAGATGTTTCTCAGTTTCTCTCAGATTCTGTCTCTGGACCTGTCTGTTCTCCTCTGCATGTGCTTTTGTCCACCTGTCTGTGTGTGTGTCATTCACATGTTCTGTTTTGTGTTTTAGGCTCCTGACTGGAATAAGGAACTTCAAACAGCCAGAGATCTTCCTCAGAGGAGTCTGGAGGAGAGACTTCAGAGGGACCGAGCGTTACTGCAGGTCTGAGGCTGAGCACACATTTGCCTAGAGATCCACAGACTTCTGCTGTTTGCATATAAAGCTCATTATAACTACTACAGACTAAACTGAACTCTTACCCTTCCACAGGTGAACAGTGCTTTTGTGTGGGCTGTTGCTCAGGCAGCAGAGAAGGCGATCGATGGCTTTGTCGACTCAATCAGCGGTTCTCACGGGGACCCGGCATTCTTGTGCGGCGGCGTGTTCATGAGTATGCCAGCACACAGAGACCAACTGCTGGGAGGAGAACGGAGTCACCGAGCTGCTCAACGCCTCGAGCTGCGATGTGTTCAGGCTTACAGCGACCTGGACGGAGACCTCCAAAACCTGCACACCATCCCCACTGCGCTGGCCGACTACCGCGGCGTTCGGCTGTCCGCGCAGGGCCTGGCCCCGGGTATTCAGGGCCCCGAGCAGGCTGAGGTTCCCAGTGGCCTTTTATACGGCTACAGTGCAGGGCCGCTGGAAAATCCATCAAGACGGAAACTCCTAGAGCTGGTGGCTCAGTCCGCAAAGGCTCTTTCTCTGCAAAGACATGCGGTTCTGGGGCTGACCGGGCATCAGCTGCCCCTCTTCACCTCTGTAGATGCCCAGGGGATTCTGGGGGCCGACGGTCGGTATTACCTGCTGGATGTGTATCGTACTATGCCTGCTGATGCCAACTTCCTGGTAGAAGATGGAGAAGAAGGAGCAGAAACGGAAGGGAGTTTTCCCCGACGGTACCCTCACGTTTTGTGTCGATTACGGCCGGAGTTAGTGAAGGCGTTCATTCAACACAAGTGAGTATTGACAGGTTTCCCAAGTGCTTACATTGGTTGATCAAACAGATAGCCCCGCCCCCAAATTCTAGTTACTGTTGCGAACTCGGACAAACAAACGGAGTTGCTAACTGTCTTACAGTGACAGCTGTCAGTGTGAAAACCTTGTCCCTATATCTTTTTGATAAATTTTGGACACAGAAGGACCACCATTCAAGTGGGACTTAAATATGCCATGGAGGGATATATAAAAGATTTTAAAATAAATACTGTGGGTATTAATTTGGAAGCGAGGGTTTACGGATCATAATGCAAGCGGGAGAAGTCTCATGTTACGTTCGTCACGATCGGGGATGACAACATCCTGGATCAACACTGTTCATGTATCGCAGGGTACGATTAAATTAATTTACATTTAACCAGTTTAATATGAAGAGACAGTGAAATGTTCGATGTGTGTTTTTGCCCTACACTGTACAAGACGCGAGAACAGTCCGCTATTTAGGATTGTACATTAGCATGGACTCACTAACTTTAACGTTAGCTAGTTTTAGCCAGAGATACCTTGCTGAAGCACAAGATGACAATAACGTTCTGCTTGAGCAGAAAATGAACGTTTTTGCCTTCATTGGGATTGGAGGTGAATGCTTAGGGACATTTTGCTCCGTTTTGTTTGGGTTTAGGAAATAGAATAAAATAAATTCCATTGCCCATCCTCTCCGGATACCTGGAATCAGTGTTACAAGTACCCCAGGCACATCGTTTTAAAATTTTTGTAGCATAAACACCATCAAACCGATGAAAGATTCGGATCTTCCAACGTTTCTCTATGACACTGAAACCTAAAGATGTCCGAGTTCCGGTCCCCGCACAACTGATACTCAACTGCCATTGGCTCATCTGCGTTCGAGGGGAGGGGCTTACCGATAGGTCAATTG